ACACATCAAAGAAGTGTTTCAGTTTAAAGCGTTGTAAATTTGAACAGGGAAAACAGGTAGAGAAAAATGAGACTCCACATCGCCATCTGGTGGCACAATGTTATGTCGCATATACAAGGCATACAAATCGTTTTTTCTTTACTATTCTAGCTGAATCCTAGGACCATGGACTGTAGCTTCCCCAGGCCTTCTTTGGATGAAATTCCATGTACCTATATTATTGTATGCATTGAGTTATCTCCTTCATTAAATTGAATATTAAATCCTTTGCTTCATCTGTGGATCAAATACTGCATTTGGTTTAGTGGGTTATTATAAGTTGCTTGGGCCTGATTTTGGGTTGTATTAAAAAAAAAAAATCAATATAATAGTATAGTATGTGCTTTCTTGGATCAAGCCCAAGAAAGTGTCCCTGCTCCCAAATGCAATGTCTCTTTTTAAGGCTTTCCCCCTACCACAGAGTTAGTTGTTTAACAGCATGAAAGGCAGTGACTTGTTACAAGCAGACCACCTACTGCCAGAGTACAAAGAATCAATCATATGTCAATAGAAAGCTGCAGTGAGGATTTGGCCTCGAGAAATAGCAAATTCTTCTAAACTGGGATAAAAAGCAGAAAAATTCAAAGTCTTTCCCCATTTTTTTATTTTTTTTTACTTCTCCCTTGAGAGAAAACGATTTTTAAAATAATAATAAAGTAGGGGACTTGATTGCTATTTTTAGCTCTGGCTGAAGCAAATAACAAGCTATTTAGCAGGCTGAACCCATGTTGCAGATTAGGAACTTCAGGAGCACAGCTTCTAAGTTTATGATCTCAAATAATGTAGTGATCTACACAGCTCAAAACCCATGACTCTCCCTGAAACTTCATCTTCTGAACGATTTCTTGAAGGGATTTAAATACTACAGGAAAGAAATGCCCGTAGCAGCAGGAGTGGGAAACCTGTGGCCCTCCAGGTATTGTTGAAATCCAATTCCCATCAGAGAGAGGAAAAAATTAGAAAGATGAAGAAAGTAAAGTATTTGAAGATTTTATGCTTTGCAAATTCCAATATGAGCTGAGCAGAACCTCACCTTGTGAACAAATTTGTGAACTGAAACAACAGTACTGTGAAGAACAATAGTTGTCCACTGGATTTTGCATTTCTCTGAATTTTGTGAGGCAGCTATTCCTTTAACAGACATTCTAAAATGCTGATTGTTGTGTCGTATTTTTGTACACTGCTTAAGACTGATTTAGAAATGCAATACAATAAACTTCAAATTCCATACATTCAAAATATACTTCCTTTCCATTAAAAGAAGTGTATTTTGTGAGAATATACTCCAGAATATGTACAGTGGTACCTTGGGTTACAGACGCTTCAGGTTACAGATGCTTCAGGTTACAGACTCCACTAACCCAGAAATAGTACCTCGGGTTAAGAACTTTGCTTCAGGATGAGAACAAAAATTGTATGGTGGCAGCACAGCGGCAGCGGGAAGTCCCATGATACCTCAGGTTAAGAACAGTTTCAGGTTAAGAACAGACCTCCAGAACGAATTAAGTTCTTAACTCAAGGTACCACTGTATTTGTCAAATACAAACATTCATGAAGTCATTTTGATAAATGAATATATCATAGAATAACATAAAATGCAGAAATAGGACAGAACAGTCCTATGAAAGTGCATGTGCAAGACTAAAGCTGCAACTCTAGCCCCACTTATCTAAGACTAAGCCCGTTGAATTTAATAGAACTTATTTCTGACTAAGCCCGTTGAATTTAATAGAACTTATTTCTGACTAGATATGTTTAGGATTGTAGTCTGACACAGACTGTATGTACATGACATTATACACTCCATGATCACAGAGATCTTGTTTTTCCTACCTAGTCCCACACACAATCTGGACCTATTGCATATTATATGGCCCCAGAAAGCACTTATTCACAAACTGGATTCATTCTGAAAAATGAAAAATGAAAGCTCAGTGCAGATTGATCCGGCATTGCCTCCCACCCCCACTGTGCTCATTTGAAAATGGATGTATGTAGTTCCAGCAATGGTTGTAGCCACACCTGCTCCCAAATGGGAGGGTGGGAGGGTGCATGCCAATATCATTTCCTCAGGACATGCATGAGGAGGAAAAGGCAAGGATAAGCTAATGAAGGGGAGGCCTTTCAAATGAACATCAAGTAACCTCACCACCCTTGCAGATTGCGGGATCTAGACTCCATCGTGAAAGCACTTGTTGAAGACAAGTATGCATGATCCTCCAATGAGAAAAAGCTGCTTCTTTGTACTATGAATAGGCTGCTGTGTCTATCCCTAGGAGAAAGTGTGAGAGAAAGTGAAGAGTAGATTAAATAAAACAGACGAACTTCTGTTAGACATTTCTTTTACCTTGCATATATTTGCATACTATTTCCCCATATTTCTCTATGGGAAGAATACTTTCCTGGGAAGAATATGAACTTTCTTCTTACCTCACCTTCAAGTGCAACAGATGAACAGTTGTTTGTAATATATATGAGGTGCTATATTTCCCACCGTTATCGTGTTTTCGGGGTATGCACTGTTTCAGCATGTGGTTCTCAGCAGAGCAACTATCTTGAGGAAATTCAAAACATAACAAAGCACCGGTTTTGCATATAAATGGCAAAGCTACGTTAGAAAGCATATGAGCCTTGTAAATTCTTAGGCAATTTTTAACCGAGCTTCTATGGAGAACAGGTGCTCCTCACAAAAGGGTGCTTTCCTCCTCTTCCCCCTCCCCAGCTCTTTCTTAACATCTTCTCACGAAACACAAAGTAGAGCAGGGGGAACAAAATAATCTTAAGAAAACTCACTGGTGTTCAAGGAAGGACACTTTGCGGGAAAGTTTATTTTCTTTCCAGGACTCTAGGAGTTTTACATACAAGAGGAATATAGTTTCCTAATCTCTCTGCTGCAAATGGCTCCAAGCAATCTGCTCAATAAAATAAGGGCCCATAAGCAGACATAACTTTTTTAAAAAGAAAAAAAATGCATGCTGGAGTTGGCTGAAGAACAAACACTTTGAAACTTCTTTTACTTCAGTAGCTGATTCCACATGTAACACAAAGTAGTTATCTGTTATATCAAACTGAGTGCCTGGGGGTACTGTCTTTACCGGCATAGCTGACAGCACCATTGGTGATAAGCACTACTAGTGAGTAGCTTTCTGTGTTGTATATGTGTCTTTTAAAAAATGCAGGGCGGGGAGCGGGGAGGCAGGAGAAGAAATTCTTGATATTTTAGTACTTAGCCTGACACACACAACTCCCTCAGATGAGAAAAGTGAACATTCTGTCCAGATTGATATGGCAAGACCATACAGCTTGTGACCTTTCCAAACAAAGTGCATGCATCCCATGTAATGGTGTCAGAGCAGATTCCTAATACATTTTTTGTTTTTGCAGGCCCATTACACTGTAGGGGAAGGGGAATGGATGTGGACCTGCAGATGTTGCAGAACAGCAGCCTCCATCTTCACTGAGCACTGGTCATTCTTCCTGGGGCTGAAGGGGGTTGGAGTCTAACAATATTCTGGAGGGTCCTGGTTTACCAATTCCTGCGGTAAAACCGGGAATCCTTAGTGAGCTTTCTGGCCCGTGAAACACAGAGAGGTGGCAGAGGAGAGGCATGGTATTTCCCCAGAAATGTGGCTGCCTAAAAAAGATTTTTGTTTATGTGCAAGTATGTGTGGACAGTGGATGAATTAGGAATGGACCTGGAAACAAAGTCCAAGGCCACATATCCCAGGGAGAACAACTTGAGAGTGCCAGATCAGGGGGGCAGCAGCAGACAGCCTTGGCATCAGGGCGTCAGGTCAACCACTCAGTATCTCCAGCTGTTTCTATCCTAGAACTGCTGTGACAAGAAATGCAATGTCTGATGCATTTTGCCAAGTTTTGCTGCTGTTAAATGCACAAGAGCTTCTCCCAAGAAAAGAATTGTCATTCATAAAATATCCTTATGGATCTAATATGTAACTTTAAAAAAATCTAGCGGGGGACTGAATATGAAATTAAAATTTTCTGCTTTCGTGGATAGAAGTGTGTATTTCCCATAAAGTCCCATTTTAAGCAAATGGGTTCTTTATAAATAGTTTATTAGTAATTAGTTGAATATTAAAATAAATTGGGTTTTGTTATTAAGAGGTCTGCTGAACAAACATTAATAAATTAGCATGCGTTGCAATGCATAAGTGCTCTGTAATTATATATAGCATTGTATATTTAGTAGCCAATTGTTATTTATGGACATCTCCCTGAGATTATCATACAGCCAGAATCTTGAAAAGGAGTCTGTGTGTGTTTGTGTGTGAGCAGTGTTATTATCATGTTAGTTTAATATAAGACACTGCTAATATTTTGCTGCATGCGTTTTGACATTGGTTGTAACTAGGGATGTAAGAAGTAAGCAATTTCTGTTCTAACCTGTACTTGTCACAATCAGCACTCCCATTCTGCTCCACTTTGGTTTCCTCTGAATACTACATTATTCATCTCACTGTCCACTACTTAATGTAAGTTACATAATTTACCTTAATATTTAATATTTATCATCCCAAGTTGTACAAAGTGGGAACTGTTTATGCACCCATCTCCACAAGAGAGGCCATTTCCCAGCTATGGAGACTGTGGGCTTACTTCAAGCCCTGTTCAGAAATCACACACATACAATTCCAATCGCAAATAGGGGAGAGTGAGGGCATGTTCCCTGGCCCTCTGTCACATCACCATATCTTGCTCAGTTGCCTTCCAAGTGTTGGGGGCCACACATATTCAGCAGTGTATTCCCTGCATTTGTGTGCACTTCCTTTTAGGGTTCTGAATCACATGAGGAACTGACAGAAAAACAGCAGGGTTTCTGCTGCAGGCGTTCAGCCCCCACCCCAGTGCAATGTTTTCTGAATCATAGAATTATGGAATTATAGAGTTGGAAGGGACTATGAGGGTCATCTAGCCCAACGCAATACAATGCAAGAAACTTTTGCCCAATTTAGGGCTCAAACCCCTGACCTTGAGATTAAGAGTCTCATGCTCTAGTGACTAAGCTACCCCAGGCCTGTACTAGAGGCTAAGAATGTTGAAGAACTGGAAGAAAAATGGAAACGGAAATTGCTAGTGTCCATGTATTCTTCCATGTTGGGAATGGAAATTAATCCTGTGAATATGATTGGTATTCACTGTTGTTGCTTTTAGTACACAACAGGAGCACTAACTCTAGGGGGCCAAGGTATCTTTGCCCCCTCAATATTTGTTGGAAGGGGGGCACCCCCTGCCAATCTTCAGCGGGCAGAGGAGCTTCAGTGGCTGGCTCCTCCAGAGCTCTCGGCCTCTAGAGGTGCTGAACACAGCACATTTTGCATGAAAGCATGGGGCATGCTCAATGCTAGTCCCACTCAGTATAAACCCATTGAAGTTAATGGACAGGAGTAACTCCAGGCCATTAATTTCTATGAGTTTAATCTGAGTAGGAATCAGTTGGCTACAACCCCATGCATTCACCATCACTGAGCTATGGGGCCTGGGTGCTATTGGTAGATATAGTGCCGTGAATCCATAATCAGCTGAAGATCAGTGAGTAGGAGAGAGCTTGATGAAAGCCAATGGTGGGTTCCATTCACATGTGCTGAGCGACACCCACCTACTGCTGACCTCTGTGCTTGTGGTAGGAAAGGACTTGTGTGGGATATATATATTACAAAAAGCAAATTAGCAGTGTCCTAACCAGAAATTATTTTTTGACCTGAGCAATATGCTTCCATGAGAAGGATCAACTTGATGTACAAAGATAAAAAGAAACCCATCAGAAAATATATTAAAACATATGGTTCATTTCTCTTTGGAAATAAGATCATGAACAATAAATAATAGGATTACAAACTAGTGTATTTGTAGGCGCCAGCCTTGTTACCAAGATACTGTCATTTTTTGACGTTTCAAAGCGCGCGCTCTCTCTCATATTTATATCTCTAATCATAATCAGATGGATTTGTTTTATTTAACTTGCTGAAATTTATTGAATATGAAAAAAGCATAAAGCAAGCTGTCTCCAACATAAAACCTACCTAAATGCATTAGCAGTGAGTGGTCTGCAAATTCAAGCACTTTCAGTGTGGTTGTTACATAAATTGCTTTGTTTTTCCCCATCTCCAGATCTTGTGAGATATGGTGAGTTCATGGAATTATAGTAGAGTTGGAAGGCACCCTAAGACTCATCTAGTCCAACCCCCTGCAATGCAGGAATTACAGTTAAAGAATCCCTGACAGATGGCCATCCAAACTCTGTTTAAAAGCCTCCCTTGAAGGAGAATACACCACCTTCCAAGTTTCATGTTTTATTTATTGTGGTTGCTATCTATCCATGCTCACCTAAAATTAGGTCCCATTAAAAAATGCAAGAACTTGTTGTTTTTTAATAAAAAAAATAGTAAGGTTTTGTAGTTACAAAATCCAAATATCACATACCATTTTCAATCCTGACTTGATTTTACATTTACTATCCTCTCCCTCCCCTCCTGACTTCCCTCAACTTCCCCTTCTGGTTTGTTACATTGTATGTTATGTTCTGCATGTATAAAGGTAAAGGTAAAGGGACCCCTGACCATTAGGTCCAGTCGCGACCGACTCTGGGGTTGCGGCGCTCATCTCGCTTTATTGGCCGAGGGAGCCGGCGTACAGCTTCCGGGTCATGTGGCCAGCATGAATAAGCCGCTTCTGGCGAACCAGAGCAGTGAACGGAAACGCCGTTTACCTTCCCGCTGAAGCGGTACCTATTTATCTACTTGCACTTTGGCGTGCTTTTGAACTGCTAGGTTGGTAGGAGCAGGGACCAAGCAACCAGAGCTCACCCCGTCGCGGGGATTCGAATCGCTGACCTTCTGATCGGCAAGTCCTAGGCTCTGTGGTTTAACCCACAGCGCCAACCACGTCCCCTGCATGTATTAAATGTTGTTACATTGTCATTTTCTATGTTTAAATTCTATAAAGTTGTTAAAGTTTATTCAAATCCTGCCAATGAGTCAATTTCTTTTTGTTGTTTCTGAAAATGAAAATTGCAGGGACTTGTGATGTACCTTATAGGTAGTGTAGCCATCACTCCCCAACCCAGAATAAATGGCCTTTATTGTGAGGAGAAAAGAAAGGCACATAATCGGTAATGGTAACCTTATCTCCATGCATGCACATCCGCTCACCCACACTCAAGAGAGCCTGTGACAAAATCCCATCTTCTCCTACTTTTACTTCCAGTAAATGGATAGGGATTTTTTGGGATGGATACAAAGGGAAATATTTGCTGAGCCCTAGAACAAATTTAACAAGTGAAGCTTTTCCCATCACTTTCCAAGTAATGAAAACCTTTTCCTGTTGAGTTTGTCCCTGCCAATCCTCCTTTAAAAGCATAGGTTTAAGTCTAGGTCCATTAAATGTGCACATCACTTTCTACTAAAAGCAATTTACAACCAAAGTTGGCATCCATCTGCCCTGGGAGACAATGAAGGAGTGTGCCTTCAAGGATGAAGTCAAACTGTTAGAAAGTTATAGCGCTTGCTGTGGTTGTAGAGTTTGATAGGGGAGAGACATGTTTTGTTGCAGCTGGGGCAGATGAGGGCATCCAGTTGTGCTGCTGCAGGTGCACTGTGGCATTTATTCTCTCTGCACTCCTCCCAGGAGTCTATCTTTCTCTGGTCACTGGCATGGATGCACAACCTGACAAATTGTCTCCAGGCACTGCTGTCGTCTGCAAGGGATTCCCACACGGTGGGGTTAATGTTGTTAGCCTTCATGTCACATTGACAGACATCGTTGTAACGCAAAGTTGATCTGCCAACAGGCCTGGTACCTGAAGCCAGCTCCCCAAAGAGCATGTCCTTGGGGATCCTGCCATCTTCAGTTCAGTGGACATGGCCAATCTAGCATGGATATCACTGAGACAGGAATGTGAACATGCTGGGAACTTGGGCTTGGGAGAACGCATCTTTGTTTGAAACTCTGTCCTGCATTGGGATGCCCCAAATCTTCCTGATGCAGCACATGTGGAAGGTGTTGAGACAAATAAATAACATCACTTAAACAATGGATGTAACAGTACAGTCGTTTAACTGGTGCTGCCCAAATGCGTGGAAAATAATAAGAAGAAAAATCTGTGTTTAATGCTGAAACAATGGCAAGCATTTCTGACCCGGACGTTGCAATTATCACCTGAGGCCCTTCTTCATGTGCCTCTTCTGAAAGAGGTTTGGAGAGTGGCAACATAAGAATGACCTTTTCTGTTGTGGCTCCCCCAGGAATACTCTTTTAGGCCTTTGACTAATTACACAATCTAGGTCCTTTTAAACGGTGGAGGGTATTGGTTTTTGTTAGTTACTACTGTATGTATTTTTGTATGTTTATATTGTAAACTGCTTTGTAAGCCTCAGATGAAAGGCAGTACAGTGGTACCTCGGGTTACATACGCTTCAGATTACATATGCTTCAGGTTATAGACTCCGCTAACCCAGAAATATTACCTCGGGTTAAGAACTTTGCTTCAGGATGAGAACAGAAATTGTGCGGCGGCAGCGCAGCAGCAGCAGGAGGCCCCATTAGCTAAAGTAGTGCTTCAGTTTAAGAACAGTTTCAGGTTAATAACAGACCTCCAGAACGAATTAAGTTCTTATAAAAATAATAATAATAAATTTTATTTATATCCCGCCCTCCCCAGCCGAAGCCAGGCTCAGGGCGGCTAACAACACTAAAATAGTGCAACATTATAAAAACATTATAAAAATTAATTAAAATCAAAATTGATGGCAACCATAAACTAAAGTTTTGTAAAGATTGCCAAAGGAGGGAGTCAGGCTGCGCCCTGACCAAAGGCCTGGTGGAACAGCTCTGTCTTGCAGGCCCTGCAGAAAGATGTCAAGTCCTGCAGGGCCCTTGTCTCTTGTGACAGAGCGTTCCACCAGGTTGGAGCCGCAGCCGAAAAGCCCTGGCTCTAGTTGAGGCCAGCCTAACCTCTCTGTGGCCTGGGACCTTCAAGATGTTTTTATTTGAAGACCGTAAGTTCCTCTGTGGGGCATACCAGGAGAGGCGGTCCCGTAGGTACGAGGGTCCTAGGCCGTATAGGGCTTTGAAGGTTAGAATCAGCACCTTAAACCTGATCCTGTACTCCACCGGGAGCCAGTGCAGCTGGTATAGTACCGGATAAATGTGATCTCGCAGCGAAGACCCCGTAACAAGTCTCGCTGCGGCATTCTGCACCCGCTGGAGTTTCTGGGTCAGTCTCTTAACCTGAGGTATCACTGTATAGAAATTTTAATCATCATCCTCAGGGTAGGGAGTGTGCTATAGAGAAAGTCCATTCTCTCATTGCCACTCCCCAGACATCTCTTGAAAATGACATGCAGAGAATAGCCTAAAATAAAGACCTTATAGTCTGGGCAGGTTCAGGTGGGAAAAGGTGGACCTTTGGGAAGTAGGCCAGTACAGAAATGGGAAATCTTCACTTCTATGCTTGTGTAACCACTTTCACAAATTCTGGTGGGCTGTGTTCAAAAGGGCTTGTCTGTGATAATTCTGAAAGGGGAAAAATTAGAATGCCAAAAAAGTTATTTTGAAATATCTTCATAGGTTACCATGGTGACACAGCTAATTACAACTTTGCTGTGTCCCATTTGAAGGCTGGAAATTACTTCGTTCTCTTAAAGAATTGTCCGAAGTTTCCTGACAGACAAGCCATTCTTTCAACAAAGAGGAGATTGCAGAGTTTAATCTTTTTTGTCTAATATAATACTAAAACTGAATCATGATGTAAAGAGACATTTCTCTACACCTTAATAAGACATGGCATGCGCAGCACAAATTATAGTATAATTATAGTGTCCAGATTAAGAGAAGTAATAGTACCGTTCTATTGTGCCTTAGTCAGACCCCACTATGTCCAGTTTGGGGCACCACAGTTAAAGAAGGATGTTGACAAGCTGCAATGTGTGCAGAGGAGGGTAACCAAGATGATAAAGAGTTTCAAAACCAGGCCTGAGACTCCATCTTCATCCATCCAAGGAGCCCTCCACAACTCTC